TCCTCACCTGTCCCTGGAGCTGAGATCCCATCAGGAGCTGGCAAAGAACGTGTCACACCAGCATCCTCACCTGTCCCTGGAGCTGAGGTCCCGTCAGGAGCTGGGACACGCCGGCCTGCACCAGCACCCCCTGTGCCTGGAGCTGAGGTGTCATCAGGGGGGCAGTGTGCCACACCAGCACTGTCACCTGTCCCTGGAGCTGAGGTCCCATCAGGGACTGGGAGACGTCCTGCACCAGCGTCACCTGTGCCCAGAGCTGATGTCCCAGCAGAGGCTGAGGTGCCCCCTGTCACACCAAGATCATCCGTGCCAGCTTCCCCCGTGTCTGCAGCTGATGTCCCATCAGGGGCTGAGGTGCCACATGTCACACCAAGATCATCCATGCCAGCATCTCCTGTGCCCAGGGCTGATGTCCCATCAGAGGCTGAGGTGCCACATGTCACACCAAGGTCATCCGTGCCAGCATCCCCTGTGCCCAGGGCTGATGTCCCATCAGTGCCCAGCGTGCCACACGGCACAGCAGCCCCGGGCAGCCCCCGAGCCGGTGTCCCAGCAGAGGCTGAGGTGTCCCATGTCCCAGCAGAGGCCGAGGTGCCCCTTGTCACAGCAGCACCCCCTGGAGGGCACAGCCCATCAGCAGTGTGTCACCTGCACGGTGACAAGGAGCCAGGCGAGCCCAGGGGCACCACAGAGAGCGGTGAGGGGGTGCAGACTGAGTTCTAGCCCCAGCCCCTGCCATGGACTGGCCCCGGTGACACTGGGGCTGGGGGAGGGGGACAGGACCCCCGGGATGGAGAGCAGCACTGTGGGAGAGGGAGGGGATGGGGACACCCAGACCTTACTGCCTAAGGGGGTCCCACTGCCACAGCCCCATGGGTCTGACTGGGGTGGCCCCAGCCTGGCTTGGGGTATCCCCTGCGCTCTGCTCTGTCCTTCTTCCGCCTTATTTTCTTTCCTACTGAGGAGATGCTTTACTGAAGAGCTTTATCTGCCCCCCACACCAGTGCCTGGGGCTGCTGGGGGGGCTGGCACTAGCCCTGCTGAGGGAGGGTGTATGGGACACTCCTGGCTGTCCCCAGGGTTGTCCCTTCCCCAGTCTGGGGTGTTTCCTCAGAGCCTGCCCACTGCCACCCATCCAGGGGGCGGTTTCTGCGAGTGTGCATACTGCCATCCTCACCTGGGCAGCTCCAGGAGTGCCAGTGGGAGTGGGAACTGCAGGGACAAATTGCTGTCCCTGATGGCAAACAGGGACCTGACAGGGACAGCAATGCTGGGGAGCTTGAGCCACTACTGAGGAGGAAAGTGCTGGGACAGGCATGGGCTGCTGGTGCCCAGGCTGGGCTCACAGCATCCAGGCTGGGCTCGCAGCACCCACCCCCAGCCACCCTCACCCCTAGGAGCTATTTCAGGAGCTATTTTAAGTTCAGAGTTCAGTCTCTGGGGAAGGTGGCACCCAGGTCGTGTCCCAGCTGTGCCTGGCAGGACTGGGATAATTCCAGGCTCAGCTTGCTGTGCAGTGGAGAGATCCCAGCCCTTGCCCTCCACATCTCCTCAGCACCTCCCATGGATGGTTTCTCAAGGTTTTGGCATCTGCTGTGCTGGCTGAGCAAAGAGCAGGGGGTTGCTGACCCCTCTGTGTCACAGGGACAGGAGTGCTGCAGCCCCCACACAGTGATGCCAAAGCCCTGGAGGTGCTGGGGGTCTGCAGGACCCCTGGGGGTGACACCTGGAGCAGGGACCAGCACCCCAACACCCACCTGTGCCCAGCCTAACCCACTCAGGGGGGCCCCCAAAGTGCCTTGGGAGGCCCCCCTCAAAGTGCCTTTCTCTGTGAACTTCAAACCTGTCTCTTCCAGGATATTTTATTAAGAAAGTTATACAAATGTTTAAAGATATGCTTATAATAATTAATAAAATGGAAAAGCTTTATTTAAAGCCAGAGGAGCCTCTCCTTATTGCTGAAACACCTCCCTGGGCAGGGCTGGGGATCCCCAGTCCCACTGTGAGACCCAGGGGTGTCACATCCTGAGCCCACCCAGCAGTGACACAAAGCAGGAGTGGAGCTGAGATGATTTTATTCAAAGGGGTGTCCTGAGGAAGCAGCAAGAGGCACCAGGAGCAGCATTTCCCCCTGGCACAGCCACACCAGGGGCTGCTCCAGCCCCGTCCCTGAAGCACAGGAGCGGGGTGGGGGTGGCAGGACCCCCAGTGTCCCCAAAGGCACTGTGTGAAGAGGGGCTTGGTGCAGCTCTGGGCAGGAGGGTCCCTGTCCCCAACAAGTCACCAGGTCATTCCTGTCCCAGCCAGGATGAACCTCCTTGAAAAGCAGGGAGGGGAGGAAATGCCAGCACCCCCCCACCCTGCTGTCACCACCCGGACAAAGGTCCCTGAGAGCCAGGGGACAGCCACCAGCTGAGTGGCAGCACGGCCATGGGGCTCCCTGTCCCCAGAGCAGGGCCCCAGCAAGTCCTTGGGGTTCTGTGTCCCACAGAGCACGGGGACAGAGACAGAAGTGACAGCAGCTATTCCAGACAAAGGAGCAGGAGGTGGGACACGTGTGCCACCACCCTGGGGGGCTCTAGCCCCGGCCCAGCAGAGGGTACACCATGAAGTAGCCCAGGGTGGAGCCTGCAATGGCCCCCAGGAAGATCCAGGCGTTGTAGGACATGACTGCCAGCATCACCATGTAGCCCAGCACCACCTGCAGCACGTGGAACAGAGTCTGGGCCACGTGGAACCAGAACCACCTGGGCAAGGAGAGGGGAAATGCCATCAGTGAGGGCTGGGACAGCTGGAATCACCTCCCACCAGGAGCCTGCAGAGGACAGAGGGGGTCTGGGCAGCAGGGAGAGGGGTGGGGGCCACAAACAGCAGCTCAGGGGGAAATCCTGCTCCAAAAATCAACGAGGCTGGTAGGAAGAGCAGCCTCAGGAATGACCTGGCATTAAATACAAGAGGTAAAACCCAGGGCTTGGCTCCAAAGGAAGGAACTGCCAGGGCCTTGTGGGGACTGAGTTGCTGCTTGTGCCCATCCCCAAACCAGAAGGACCCTCCTGCATCCTGCACAACAGCTCCTGGAGGGGAACATGAGCCTCTAGCCACCCCCCTGGACACCTCCCAGGGGTCTGGAGGGGCTGGGCTGCCCCAGGCTGTACACACCCCTCTGCCCTGGCAGCCTGCAGCTCCTCCTCACAGCCC